ATGATTATACTGTTTTATAAATGAGTTTAAACAGAGAATACCCAAAAGCACATTTTCAAAAAGCTGTTTCACGACCTCTGCTGTAAGTGAATGACTTTTAATTCTGTGTAATGAATCGTTCAGAGAGGAAAATTACGCTCACGTAAAATATCTGCTGACTTGTTCATTCAAACTTATGCTTTAATTCAGTTATTCTAGCTAAATATTTTTATTCTGACTTCACAAAAATAACAAACACAAGCTTATGAATAAGAATCAAAATCAAATGATCAGAAAAGCTCCTAAAAATAAATAACTAAAAATCAAGAGTTGCAATAAATGTAAAAAACTATTGGCATGTATGCTTCATCCATCACTGTTGGTGTCAACGAGGCTCTTTATAAAAAAGACATTATTGAAAAGTGAAGCCGCTTAAACCTGTTTTTTCTAATGACCAGCAGGGGGCGACTGCTGTGATTAAACAGTCTGTGCGAAAATGACGCAGTGTCTCTCAAGATCCTCATGATGAACTTATGATCTTGGTTTTAGGTCATATTAAAAACCGTGTTGTTAATTATAGGTCCCATTAAGAGCCAAAAAAGGCGGGAAAACACTCAGAACAGGACTTCACTAACGAGGGACATCACAGTGGCCATGTCCCTCTTTCATATACAGTAAACCTGCTCCATGCAGTGAACTTTCATCACGTCATTACAGGCGTGTGTGTGTCGGTGTGTTTAAGTGATCTGAGCTGTACTCGTTCAGCTCTCAGCACCACAGGAAAGTCTCTGTGGGAGAATCTGCAGGTTGTCTCTGAAACTGTTTTCCTAAACGAGTGACTGACTGAATAAATTTGACCGAATTTTTATTAAAAAGGATATTTCTATCAGCTCTTGCTTCTGCGGCAGAGCTGCGTCTTTTTAATTTGACTGAAACTGCGAGCAGGATCGCTGCTGCCACACGAACCCGTGCCCTCGGTGTTAATTAAAAAGAGGCCTGTTTTAATGAAACGGCACGTCTCTCTGTGAGAGTCTCAGGAGAAGAAACTGGATCTGTGTGACCGGCGCGCCCTCGCTCGGGCTCGTTTAGTCACTTTTACCCCCTCAGACTGAAAGCAGCTTATTTGTTAATTACACCTCTGAAGAGTGTGGAGGAGGCTTCACTGAGCTGCTTTGAAAAAAGAAGGAAGGAAGCACTTCATAATTTCAGAATAAAACAACTCGTGCACAGTTCGTCCTGTCAGCATCCAGCGGCCGCTAAAATGGCTGCAAACCATTCAGGGCATCCGTCCTTCGTTCCGTTTCTTTCTTTCATTTCTTCCTCCTATCCTGTCTTTTACTCTTACCCTTCCTTTTACCCTCCTTCTTTCTTCCTTCCTTTTCATCTTCTACTCTTATTCCCCTAGCTTTTCTTCTTACTTTCTTTACCTTCCTGTTTTCTTCTTTCTTTACTTTCTTCTCTTTCACTTCATTCCTTTTTTGTCCTTTCTGTCAATCATTATTTTCCCCTCTATTGTGCTTCCTTACCTATCTTCCTTGCATTTCCATTCACTCCTCCCTCCTTGCTTAGTTGTTTTGCTTTTCTTCCATTTATCAAGCCCTCATTCTCGCCTTTATTTCCCCTTTCTTTCTTCTATCCTTCCTTCCTTGTTTTCCTTCCTTTTTGAATACCCCATTTTCCTTCCTTTCTCTTCATTCATTTGTTTCTTTGTTCCTTGCTTCCCTGTCCTTATTTTTCCCCATCCTGCATTTTTACCTTTCTTCCTTACCTATCCCTTCCTCACTTTGCCCTTATTGTCTTACTTACTTGCCTCTATCCTTGTTATCTATCCTTTTTTCTTAGCTTGTGTCCTTGTTTTCCCCTTTCTTCTTTCTTTAGGTTCTCTCCTTTCTTCTACTGGAATTTCCTTTCTTTGCTCCTTTCTCCCCCCCCCCCCCAAAATCTTTCCTTACATCTCACCACTGTCTTCTCTAAACCAAATAAGAAGCCAGTGGTGAGATGTCAGGACTGGGGTGATGCTGGAACCAGTAAAAAGCTGAAATACAGTCCTGATGGTCACAAGCTTAAATGGCAAATAACTATTAAGTGCTTAAATAAAAAATAAAAAATCAGGCAAACACATTTTAAATGGAATAAGAAACACTGAGTGAAAGAAATGATTAAAAAGATTGATTAAAAGGGAATATAAGCCACTCAAACTGGGAGTCCTGTGGACTGTGATGAATTACTAGATGACATATCAGCCATAACCTGATATGCCCTGTGACACATTATACTCTTAAACCCTTTCCTTTTAGACTAATTGAGGTCCTCCAATCTGCACTGAACGAAGATTTTTCTTAATATGAGGAACATCCGTCAACTGCCAGGAAAAAAAGAGCTGTTGTCAACCCCATCAGCCTGAAACTGGATCTGATTCACCAGTTTGTGTCTCTTCATTAGCCCCTGTGTTTATTCACTGCTCCATCACACGCAGCTATTCCTTCTTTAGGATTAAAGAGCTGCTAATAAAGAAAGAAAAAGCAAAAGGTGGGAACAGTTCAGTTTGCTGGATGTGATCATAATGTTTGTGTGACGCTCAGCTTCACCGAGAAGTCACACAGATACTCACAGCCTGAATGTTCTGGCCAGCTTTCAGTCAGATTCCACTAACTACAGTCTGACACCAGAGCCAAACATCCGACCAAAAAGACTCGAAGATGAAGACTCGTTTGAAGAGCCAAACTTCGGCGAGTGTTGTGGTGGTTCAGCGGCCATGCAGCCAAGCTCACCGGCAGCGGTTTGAAAGCACGTAGTATTTGCTGCTGACACCCCGAGGGGAAGCTCAGAAAGTAAAGCCCACACAGGTGAGTGTGGAGCTGGAAATGACATGGTCAGACCTGCGTGTGCAGGAAGGAAGAATCGGAAGTCTGTGCAGCATTTTATCAGGCTTTAGAGGAAACTAAGAAGTAGACGGGAAAGCTTTCAGCAGGAAACGACAAAATGACATTTCCGGCAAACAAAATGGGAAGATAAAAACCACCTGACTGCACCAAGGCAAAAATTTGTAAAACACTCCTTCTTTACGAAATCACGATGCCATTCCAGAAGAAGTTCCACTTCAGGAAACACATTCAGGAAACCACATATCCTGTACATGTTACACAGCAGCAAAACCAGAAATATGTTTCAGAAATCACATTTCTGCAAAAAGGAACATTAAAAAAAGTAATTAATATTAGGAAAATATGAAAATAACATCAACAACACAGAAACCTAACGAGAGAATAGTTCAGGAAACACGACATTCCAGAACTTTTATGAGAATACAAAAACACAACAGCAAAGCATGACAAATGTTTCAGAACTTCAATGTTTCCAGAAAACCTTTCAGATAACTTGCAAACAAAAAAACATCACGCCCAGATTACACAACAAAGCAGATTTTCCATAAAGCATCCAGAAATTATAAAATAAAGTTTCTGGTAACATTCCAGAAGATGATAAAACATTCATGAAAACACAATGACTGAACCCAAAATGTGACAAACGTCCTGGTAAATATGGCAACATAATTACACTTTACACAGAAGCAGCTTTTGTTTAGACAAAGATATTTACTTTCTGCAAATATATCGTACGACCTGCTGGGTATAAATCTGAGTATCTGTAGCCTGAAACGTCCCCGTCTCAGCAGTGAGACACGCTGAGGCTTTGTGTGCTGCAGGAGATGATTAAAAGCAGGATTTGCATTTTAATTGGATAAGAATTGTATCATAGAGGTTTTTGGCAGCTGTCTCGAATCTTCTCGAATTAACACAGGTGTTAGTGTGATGATTGCATTGGCCGCTGCTCCACAGTTTTGTTTTGAGAACGTTTGGACATTTTTCAGGTTAAAGAGCTGTGTGTGTGTGTGTTCTTTTAAAGGTTTCAGACTCATTTTAACTGAGGTTTCTTATCCTTTTTAGTCTGCATATGAGCCGGTCAGGTCTGATTCACCACCTGAATGATATCCAGAGGACAGGGTTGTGTTTTGGATGCCACTGTAGAGACAAACTCGTGACGATGTACAGGTTTTCACTTTATTTCACAGGGGTGGGAGGGGAGCTGTTATGCTTTGCAGACTCGGGCCGCTAATTGATTTCACGGCTGGTGATGTGCCGCCCAGAGGAATCTGGCACCAAAGACAGGAGACAGAAGGAGGAGAAAGAGATGTTTAGGCACACGGTCACATTAAAAACACCAAGTGGGAACAGATCCAGAATTATTGACCTTGTGATGACCTTTTGGATTTATGCTAACGGGAGAGTGAGGTCAGAGGTTGAACTTCAGGATAGGTTTAGTAATGAGTTGGTCAGCTATAAATGCTTTTGATCCTGGTTGGATGAAAAAGCCCACTGAGGCGGAAATGGCTCAGTTTCCATCAGTTTGTAGCTAATAACAGTTGGCGCTACATTATGACAATGATCAGTATACTTCACACTTATTGGACGTCACTTTAATCGCCTCCAAGTTGAGATTACTTTTACTTTCTTCTGATTGGGTGCCACTTGTAAACACATGTGGGTGTAGCTTCTGTCTCTCTGAGATGACCACATCAGGCACGTCCATGTCTTTTGCTTTTACACCCCTGATAACTGGCTAAGAAGGAGAAAAATAGCTATCGAGACCAAAGCAGGGCAGCACGGTGGCGCAGTGGTTGGCACTGTTGCCGCACAGCAAGAAGGTCCTGAGTTCAATTCCACCATCAGGCCGGGGTCTTTCTGTGTGGAGTTTGCATGTTCTCCCCGTGTTTGCCGGCTTCCTCCCACCGTCCAAAGACATGCAGCTTGTGGGGATAGGTTAATTGGATAATCCAAATTGCCACTAGGTGTGAATGTGAGCGCGAATGGTTGTCTGTCCCTGTGTGTTGGCCCTGCGACAGACTGGTGACCTGTCCAGGGTGTACCCTGCCTCTCGCCCTACGACAGCTGGGATAGGCTCCAGCGCCCCCCGCGACCCTGAAAAGGATAAGCGGAAGCGAATGGATGGATGGATGGAGACCAAAGCAGTTTATTTCTGCTGTTGAATTTGAACATGGGAGTCTATGGGGATTGACTCACAGGAACCTCAAGTGGGCATTTGAAGAACTGCAGCCCATGTAGCCCCAAATATCAGGGCAATGTACTGATTATATACAAAGTGAATTTAAAATATACCAGTGATGCAGGTTTATGTAATCATTCTTGTCTTTCATTGTCAGCAAACACATGAAGAAGGACCCGTCGGTTCATTTCCAGCTTCTTTAATTCTATTTTTGGACTCTAATAAAGCAGCTTTGCATGATTCACAGTTCAAAATAACCCTATCTTATACTGGGCCTTCAGTTCATCTTGTCTAAAACAAGCTATTCTGCATCCTCCCCCTTTAAGCAAGCTTTCTTCTGATTGGCTGCCCCTCATAAACCCATATGTGTAAGGTCTGACATCAAGCAGAGCCAAGAGTAGAAAAAACAGTGACAAATGAGTGTTCCGCTCACAGGGATTACTTGTAGAAACACTGAGCTCATTATTTGAAATTTTGGACGTGTTTAATGTGAAAATCCAGCTTTGGAACAGGAGATTCATGGCAGGAAGTAGAGAGGGAAGCACAGAGCCCAGGTCCACAGATTTGAATGCAAACCCCCGACTGTGCACTGTTTAGTTTTATGTCTTTCTGGTAGAGAAAGTTGTCGGATTTAGTCACGCTTTGTGTCTGTGGTTTGTCCTGCTGTGCACTACAAGCTGTTTAAACACCTCGAGGAGAATTTAAGGCTAAAACGATGAGCTCGAGTTTTCACCCATTTCAAATGTAAAGGTTTCATTTGTGGATTAAATAAATGGCCTCACTTCTCATTCAGAGGATTGACTCATTCATGACTGAGCCGTCACTAATAAGAAGGTTTGGTCCCAGCGCGTGTGGCTGTTTGTGGTTTGAACGTAGCCTTGGGCTTCTTAACATGGTGTTCCTGTGGTTGATTAGAGCCAGGTGTCTACTCTAGAAAATGAGGGTATTGAGGGCAGCCCGCCTCGCCGCAGAGGACCAGCTGCTGCTTGCTGCAATCTCAAATGATCTTGTGGGAAGGCTAGTCGTAAAGCTAAACATGCCCTTGCTGAAATTAGACGCTCTGGAGGACAAATTGTGCTGCTGTTGCTCATTTGGAAAATGAAATCTAGCCCTGCAATTATTTTATGTTGTTGTTGGCCCTAATTATAAATCATGGAAGCGGCTGAAGAGGCAGTGTTGCTGACTCATTGCTGAGCGGCACACACACTGCTGTGGTTGTACTCAAAAGCAATATTATTCCCAGCTGTGCATGAAATCAGCTCAGTTCTGTAATGGAAAAACGAGAGTGAGGAGGAATATGCTGAATGCTGCCCGACGGTACATGTGTTTCCGTAATGTTTAAAAAGAGATGATGAAGGAAAGAATTAAATCAAGGCCCAGATCCTGCACAGATTCCCTGCTCACGGGGCTCGTTTATCAGGTTCAGAAGAGTGTGTGTGGTTTTGTTTTACCATCTTTGAGCTTGTTTGGGGATCGTTCTTATGTTTGTGTATTACATTCATATTCAAGGATATGCTCCTGCCTCATGCACTGTTTTATGAGCCTTTAATTATTCAGGTAAAAGTCTCACTCCATAAGTGGGCTCAGACCTCCCTTCAACCTGTCAAGCTCCTCTCAAACTGAGGGTAGACCCTGGGTCTACCCCAGCATCTCCTTCCATGCATTTCTTTTTGGTCTTGAGGAGCAGCGTCTGTACTCTGAGCTCCCACCCTCTCTCTAATAGATATCCAATAGATAGATACCAGATACCCAACTTAGTCTCCAAACTAAGTACAAACACCAAAAAATTGTGGCTACAGAAAAATATTCAACTTAGCGTTGTTTGGAGGAGAAGAAATATGTCATTAGTTGACAGTCGGTGTGTCAGAGGGCTTCTGGTGGTTATACAACAAGAGGCAGCTGTGGCACAGGAGGTAGAGCAGGTCATCTACCAATCAGAAGGTCGGTATTTCGATCAAGTATCCTTGGGAAAGAAACCAAACCCAGAGTTGGTCCTGATTCGCTCATTGGAGTGTGAATGCGTGTGAATGCTGGATGGAAAGCACTTGTGTGTAGAGAAAAGTGCTTGCGTGTGTGGGTGAATGAGACATGTTGTATAATGTGCTCTAAGTGCTCGAGTAGAAAAGAAGCATTTACAGCTAGTTTAGAAAAATATCATGGTCCAGTCCAATCCTGGTTTTCTCACCCTGCCATGCTGTCCCACACTGATCATCAGTTAGGTGGCAACAACTTCAAAATCTGAAAGTAATTATTAATATTAGAAAGTGAGTCGCAGCCTCAGGTTTGGAGTTAACATCACTGACACGCTTTTATTTGGTCTCATCTTTGACACCTTTTTTATATCTAATCTCCAATGGTTCCTCTTTCCTTTTACCCTCCAGTGGCAATGGTGAACAGCAGGGTGGAGGCACCCACAGTAGCGGTGATGGGCAGCGGCGGCGGGACAGCGGGCAGGTCGTGTGCAGGATGCGGGGGTCGTATCGCGGACCGCTTCCTGCTCTTCTCGATGGAGCGGTACTGGCACACGCGCTGCCTCAAGTGCTCCTGCTGCCACGCTCAGCTGGGCGAGTACAGCAGTACCTGCTACAGCAAAGGCGGCATGATCCTCTGCAAGAACGACTACATCAGGTGAGGCTTTTCAGAAACGTGTGTGTGTGTTAGTGTGTGTGAGGGAGGTGCAGGCAGGGGTTTTGTGGGCATCTCTAGGAAAAACTGAGGGCTGGATCTGGAAAGCTGCTGAGGAGGACCCTGAGACACAGCAGACTTTGTGCATCAGGCCAGTAATAATACAGCAGCCTCTCATGAAATAAATAAAGCTCTGACTGTACGGTCGGATTACGCCACAATCTGCAATAAGATACACTGAATAATCATGAGAGGTCTGCAGTGTGTTGGAGGAAATTCCACATTCAATCCAGCCGTAAAATGGGATGTTTATGCAGGTGCATATAAATGTCCCTGATTAGTATTCATGCGGTTTTTGCACTGGTGTGACTCCAAATTAGAAGCTGGACTCTCACAGGTTCCTATGCATTCATGACTGGCTCATGCTTAAGCTCATTCAAACTCATCCAAACTGAAAAAGGCTTCACTGAAGGCAAAAATCTGCCTTTTACAAAACAGACTGGTCAGTCGAGTCACAATCAAACTATGATTCTAAACTAACAGGGAGCTCTTCAGTTGTTGAATGCTGCTTCGGGAACGTGTGCCAAGTCGATACACCAGTTTGGTCTCAGGAAGCTCAGGTGCTGAGTTGTGATGGCTTCTCATGTTAGAACCTGCAGTTCCTCTAGTGACCACTTGAGGCTGGCTCAGGCATTGAATCAGCCCCATAGACTCCTGTGTCAATGTGTCTAACTTTAGAGCAGAAATAAACATGTTTACAGCCTTCTACAAAAATACCTTTGGTTTCTATCACTATTCTCTCGTTGTTAGTAACTATACATGTTTTTGGAATGTGCCCGTTCAAGCTTCAAAATACAAAACCTCAAAGAAGTGCAAGCTAGCATGTTGGCAGTGTCCATTTTTTATATACAGTCTATGATTCCTGGTCATTGTAGCACCTTCTAGTGATCAAGACTTTACTGTGGTTCGTCCAAAATAAGATTAGTGATCCCATGAGCTACGTTTTGTTTTATGAATGCTGCTTTGTGATGTCACTTCTAGGGCTGGGCCATATCATACTGTTCACGGTAATACCGGTATAATGTCGGGCAAACGATAAGAAAATGAAATATTGCGATATAATATGGGTAAAACACACATGTGCAGTGCCTTTGTTTTCATATGCACATGGCGGAAAAAGCATGACGGCGACAGAGAATGAGAAGGGCGAAAGCGGATCGTTAAATGAAACAGATGAACCAGAACTGGTTTGTAAAAATGCTGCAACTTCAGTGGTGTGGAACTGGTTTAGCTTTCGCCCGTCAGATACACAACAAAGCACTATTTTTGGTAGAGCATGCTAGCGGGCCGTCGTTATTACGTGTTGTTTTTAAGAAGACGGCACACTTAAAATCAATCCTTTGATTTTTCTGAAAATCGACAGTGCCCCTTATAATCCCATGTGCCTTATGTTTGGATTCTGGTTGTGTTTACTGACCTCGAAACGATTTTATGTCGTACACGGCGCTGGAAAATCTGTCAGATGTTTTAGTACGACTTTGTTAAGCTATGAACCCGCACCGCTTGATGGACTGTCGGAGCATTGCGGCTATCCTAGGCAGGAGCCTCGCAGAGTGATACGTACTGTGCTTCAACATAATATTACCGTATTGTGTGTATAACCTCTTTTTAAGTTTTGTGGATATTATACATGGTTATGATGAGGATCTGTCAGCCAGTTTCCACTGGAAATGCCTTTTGGTTAAACTGTCAGCAAGGATTTTGCATTTGCACTGTTAATTTTTTATATAACTTTAATGCACATAAAAAACAGCTGCTTGTTTAAGTGAAAATACATAGATGTTTTTGGGGTTTTTTGCACTAATAAAGTTGTGGAGTTGTAAAGCATTTTGTCTAGTGTCAATTATATCATCAGTTTAGAGCTGGGCGATA